TTTAAACAGCGAAAGGAGATTTAGGTCTCTTAAAGCAATCTGACTACCACTACTCATTCTCTTTATCAGGAATATTACTGCACACCCTTAATAGGGAACCTTGTTTTGCTACTCCCCGTCTGTTCAAAACAGACCTTAGCCCATTAGAAGGTCCTCCCTTGTGTGGGAAGACCACAGCTGTTACTGTAAATCTCATCCAGTAACTGTATCACCCCCATTTTGTGGCTCTGAAGGATGAAATTGAGAAATGGAATACTGTGCAGTCATCCTTTACATCTCCAATTTTAGGCCTTTGCACATCATTTTCATGCTTTTATTCCAAATCAAACAACATTAGTGAGCAACACCACCCTGTGCTAAATGCCTAGCATCTAAGGCAGCACCTATGATCTTTGTTTTTGGAGGATTTAGGATTTGAAGGGAAGTTGGGGTTTTGTTGAGAGTGGATTTTTAAATTTAATTTCTTCTACTCCCTTTTTCCCCCACCCTCCCCCCCAGCAGATCTTTTCCAATCCCCAGAATTTGTTGGAAGCAGAAATCCAGACGGTAGCGAGTTGCCTAAGATGGAGGATGCTCTGTTGTGCCTCCACAGAGGAAGCAAGAGCTCAGCATGGTTAACAAACACAACTTTAAAAAGGTTTCTGTTTCTTTAAATCCTTCTGTATAAAGTGGATCTAACTTCTTATGAAGGATATTGGGGGCTTTAATCAGAAATAAGAAGTGGTTTAAATCATTAGCACAACAAAGCAAACTATAAGCTTGAAGATAAAAGTCTCAGGGGAAAGAGTCCTCTGAAAATAAATGGGACTTGATAGATTTCCATATCATTTATAACTTCCCTTAATTACACTTGGAAGACTTGCCAGTAAAACTGGAAAATTGGCAGCCTATATCCATTATAGTAATTTTGCCGACCATGGCAAGCAGCTGGCTTTACTGGATTTTATTTCCCATCACTCACAATTAATCATCAGCTGGAGATGTCTGAAACTCCTCAAAATGTAGCAATACCGTGTGACATTCAGGCCTCCTTAAAATGCTAAAATCTGCTGAGTAAATGGGCCGAGTTCCCCTTCCAGCGAACTCATTTTGGTGCGAGGCAGGCTGCCGGTTAATGAGTGCCACTTCGATAATCGGATGCGAATGTGAACCCTGACCTCATGTCAAAGGAGAGGACGCAGCAAGCTGGATAAAAGATAGGGGATTCAGATCTGCAAACTTTACACCAATTAGACAGAGAGTGGGGAAATACATCAGTGCCGATTGGGTTTATCAGAAAGACTTGTGGGGCTTGTGACCATTTTGTAAGCCTAACACTGAAGACGTCCTGTCACAATCGTTAAGTCTTTATCAGATGACGCACAAAAGTCTGAGGAAAGTGTACCATATTCACAGAGATCCCGTGGTAGCAATGCCCTCGGGTGTGCGCTGTCTTTTTGTGTTTCTGAGTTTGAGAGAGGCCTACCCGTAAGTGCAATTAGTCTTTACAGTCCTCCTGTAGGTGCAATGAAAGCGGCTCGGGGTTGCTGCTTCTCAGATTCTGCTTCCACCCCGTGCCGTGAGTTGCTTGGTCAGGAAATGACTGGAGACAGTTCCCTGTCCTGTGTGTAACCTTTTGGCCAGAGGAGATAACAACCACCGTGCAGTCCCCGAGCTATTCAAACAGTGCTGTCGACTATTCCCAAACTCACATCGGAATTGCTAGCAACATCGAGACGTTAAGTAACTTCCTCTTCGATTGTTTTTTTTTTTCCTTCTTTTTTTTCTTTCTTTTTTTTTTTTTTTTTTTTCCCTTTCATTTTCCTTTTCACTTCTGTGGAGAACAAAACTGAACAGCCACTTTGAGCTGTGCTGTGCAGAAATAAACTACTAAAATACAGACTGAAGGTCTAATAGTTAATCACTCATTTATTCTGGTATTCCAAGCAATGTAAATGTAGATTGGTCTGTAGCGTAACGCAGTGAGAAAGATACCCAAGTTTGATTTCTTTTAAGAAAAGGAGCCCTTTCATTTTACTTGGTTCCAATCAATCAGATTTTTTGTTTGATTTTATTTGCTTGTTTTGACAGATTCGGGTCATCACTGAGACCTCTCTAAATTGAAATGTAAAGATGGTGGTTTGCATTGGTTTACCATCCACTGAAAGAAATAAATGATACGATGAAAATGCAACATTAAAAATGGTCCAAATAAATCCTTAAATAAGTAAGAAAGCAAGAACTTATACACATCGCTGCGTTTTTCATTTGCAGGATAAATAACAGGCAAAAGGATATGTGCAATTATGGAGTGAAGGAAATTGGACAGTGCCCAAAAGACTGAAAAAGAGAAAAGAGAGATACAAGTGCCTAATTTTAGGATTTGTTGCTTTGCAACACAATGCGCGTAGCTGTAAAGGTTTAACATAAGAACAGTAATTAAACTTCGGTGCTTAAGTGACACTTTCACCAAGGTAATTTTCAACAAATTGGGCATCATCAGAAGTACTGACACGGCATTTTCACACGTGGTACCTGCTGAAAGTGCCTCCTTTCTTCCAAATTAGTAAAACTAGATGTTAACTGGATACTTTGTCTGTATATTTTGTGGGTTGGGGGAGTTATTTCCTTCCCAGACCTTCATGTGTCATCGAGCCAGTAGGTACTATATAAAAGACCAAAATTTATTTTTGAGAAAGGGGGGAAATGGAGGAGAAATTCAGATTCACGGACATTTCCATCCCACAACCACTAAATGCTTCCTGGCATAGTTTAGCGCTGTACTTAAGATCTAGAGAGACAATTCTGTACTTTTCCAGTAGATGTATTTCCAGAACTCTGTTTAGATAATTGCTGACTGGTTCATTTGCACACCATCCATCTGATGAAGCCATGTTGCAGGTGAATCGTGCTGGGGCTCAAGAGAAGAGTTTCTTGTGCAGTCGAAATTAGCCCACTCAATTCAGATCTGCAGTCCTTAGCATCTCAGTCTTCATCAGCCCTTAGAGAACCATGTTCTTGGTGCTCTGATAGCTGAGTTTAACCAGAGGGTGGATAAATTTGTTTCTGAAATATGCTATAAAAAACCCCCCTCCAACAAACGCTCTTGTCCTTTATTTGTTTATTTATTTTAAAATTTTATTTTATTTTTGTAAATAAAAGTAGATATTCATAGCTTCCCCTTAACCTCAGAAATGTCTGGAAAGTTCAGAGGAAATGGAAGAAAAGCTGAGCAGTGAGAAGGCGAGAAGAGGAGGAAAAAAAGGAAGGAGCGAGCTGCTGAGACAAGGCTACAGGCAGAGCAGCAGGTGTGGAAGGAAGGAGACAAAAGACAGGGAAAGGGAAGAGAGGGGAAATTACTGGGGACAAAGAACAAATCTTTGATACTACTCCCCTTATTTGACACTACTAATCACTTAAATGCTTGCCTGAAGCTCGGGATGGAATTTCTGCAGGTAAAGTGTTGGGTGTTGGTTGTTTTCTGTATCGGGTTAATACACCATGTTCCCATAGCAAGCATTTTCCTTATTTACCCCCAAAAGCCTCTCGTATTACTGTTGGCAGTCTATTGGAGAAGGGTGTCTGAGCACCTTTTAAGGTAACATCTTTTCTTCTGTCTTGCTCAGAATCCATAGACAGATGCTTTAGGAAAAAAAGCTTTATTTCAATTTTTCAGAATGCACTTCATGCAATGTGCCCTTGATCTCTGACTTCACACCTGCCTGTTAGACAGCATATTCCTCCAAAGCAGTACATACTTGTCCTTAAAGATGTATTATTCATTTTACATACATTTAGAGAAATATATCTAAATGTATATATGTATGTATAGAAACAAATACATTTTGAGTGCACTGGCACATATAACAGCGCATAAACCAGATCTCTGCAGGTCTCAAATTACCCTCTTTAATGAAACTTTGACATCAGAGTGAAAGCATCCCAAATTTGTTGGGATAAGGAGTGAATGGCAGACTACATCTGCAAAAGAGCCTAATGAAAAGACTTGCAGTGAGCACTCGGGGCCAGGCACCCCGGAGGGGGGCACCCGCACAGGCCCGAAATGCTGTCACGTAGGGCCACTGCCCTTCCCCCTCCGGCATACCGTGGCTTCGTGGAATGACTGGCTGATCGCTGGGTCACCCGAGGGATAAATTCTGAATCCTGTGTTTTTCCCCTCGTGTACGGGCAGCTCCCCCCGGCCCCGAGCGGCTGCTTCCTCGGTGCAGCGTGGGCCAAGGCGTGGGAGGGAGGATCTGACCGGGAGGCACGGGGAGCCCAGCAGAGAAGCCCAGTGGGTTACTGGTGGCCTTGAGCTTGCGCATGTCTGTTAGCAAAGCGCGACCAAACAGGAGGAGGAAACGTGACTGTTTCCCTTTGAGCACCATCAGCTGCGGTGGAAAGGTCGGCTTTGCCTCGGTGATGCCTCCCCCGTGGGTGGGAGGAGGTGGTTGCTGGCAGGCGTGCTCCCTCCCGTCGGTGCGAAGTCACCAGCCACCACCGAGGTGCTGCCACGTGCAGGGGTGTGACTTTCTGCTCAGCGTTAGCCCGTTGGGTATCGCCAGAGCTTCCAGCCCATGCTCCCCCCCGACACGTGCCAAGAAGCTTTTGGCTTCCAAATCAGGATTAGTATTCGTGGCATCTGCACCAGGGAAGCAGAGCAAAGGTTCCCCGGCCAAAACTGCACAAATTAAATTTTGCTCTGAATTTAATTGTCGTCGAACTGTGGTGGATGTGAAATGTGAACTGTAGAAGTTGGAGCTCAATGGATGGGATGGGAGAGGAGCCCTTCAGGTTTGTCTGGGGTGATAGTTTTAACTAAGTGATTCCTTTTCCCCTGTTTTGTTGCCAGTTTTGTCAAAAGCAGCTGCAATCTGTGATTGTTGTTTGTTGTTTGTGTCGTGACTGTATAGCTGGCTGACTTGACTTGTGCCACGAAAGTCTATGTAGCAGAAGAGTCAAACCCACTTAGAGCATTTCACATTCTCTGTCCTCATCTTGTACTGCTTTAATTTCACCAGGTTTCAGAAGGTCAAGAGATTTGTGTAATTGAAGCAATGAAAATGCAGAACAGTATGATTGCTGCTAAAACAGGCAAGGTAAGCTACCTTGGGTCACTTAAAACCATATGCAACTTGTCAAATAGGATCGAATTTAAAAAGGAAAAAAGGAGGATTCTGGTTGTTAAGGAATTAAGTCCGATTGTTGCAAGTCTTTCAGAGTGAGGTGTCTTTAATTTTTAACATTTGTATCTGCAGTGAATGCTGTTAAGTAGTTCTGAGCCTTAGATAGCACAGCAGGAAATAGCTTTACTGGCTTCAGAAATTCATATAACACTTCTAGTCCTAAATAATTTGTTTTCTATGATGTTACAATGCCAAGTTGAATTGAAAGGTGTTGCAGACCATTTCTCCAAATTCCATCTTTCCAGAGAGCAACTGAAGAGGGATCTCTTTGCCAGTTAATTCATTAATGCCAAACAATTTGACATTAAAAAAACACTCAGAACGAGGCATAGAAAGTGCTTTTGCAGGACGATGAGAAGAGCAATTTTTTTATTATTGTGACTGTTAAATATGAAGCCTAAATCTGCAAACGTGTTGAGCTTTGCAAGGCTGTGTGTTGCGGTGTGTTGCTTCTGGGGGGATCAGCGTTGCAGCCCCTGCGCTGGGACTCTCCTCCTGCAGCACAGGATGTACCAAAAGCAGCGCTCGGGGCAGGGAGCTGGTTAAGCTTATGTGACAAGGGCATGCCTTCAACGCCTAAATCAGGGCCTCAGAGCATCCCTGTGCCAGGTCATAATTCACAGTCTGAAACCATCCTCGAGACACGGGCCCCTGATCCATCCTTTTCAAAGAGAGAGCAAAGTCCCTCTTGAGGAATCACTGGTCAGATCTGGATTATATATTCTTCTATTTCCTAGCACGTCCAAAGCTTTTTCTGCCCAGGGACAGGCCTCTCTGCTCTCCCTGAAGCACTGCCATTTTGTTCTTAAAAACAGCAAAAGAAACCCAAATGCAGGATCCCTTAGCCCAGAGGGAGGCAGCAAGGAGCCTGACGCTCCAGGACGGGGACGGGGTCAGCCACTGGCAGGGTTCGGGGAGATCTCAAGATGGGTCCCTATGCCAAGGACTGTTTGTGTGTTTACGAGAAAGGCTTATTTGGCACAGCACTAAAGTTGTCACTGAGGCTGGGACCCAGGGCTTGCCTCTTCTAGTGCAAAATCGGGTCTTGAGGAAAAAAATTGCAGAGAGAGGGGGAGAACCTACCTTCTGCTGTTGCTCTAACACTGCTGCTGTATTATTTTCTTTCGTGTGTTAATTCCTATATTTTTTTTCTCTCACTTGATTAATATTTCTCATCATTGCTTCTTTTGTTTAGCCCCTTATTGCTGCTCTTTGCATCCACTGATTTTAACTCGTATTTGTAATTAAAATGCCATTTCCCCTCCTACCCGCCCCCTTTTATTTTTTAACTTTAACCTTCTCTTTCCCACCGAGGTATACTGCAGCCCGTGGCCTGTTCCTTAAAATCCTGACTGTAGTTCTCCCAGTAATAAATATCTTCCACTCTGTACAGATGCTATGTTAAAACCTACAATTGGCTAATTAATCCTTTGAAATGGGATGTGAATGGTGCACAGTCCGTTCAGTGGGCCCGATGTGCACCTTGTAATGTCCCCTTGATGTTTCCATTTTAACAATAAGTTATTTGGTTTAGAATTCTAAGAATTTGAAAAAGCAAGAAAGTTTTGGGCTGTTTAGGAATGAAGCTGCTCAACAGAATTCATCCTGTCCTGCAGTGCAAAGTCATGGCTCTGAGTGCTAAAATAACTTGGCCCCTCCGCAGGAATGGGATGCTTGGCCCTGGCTGTTAGGCCACGTTTTGATGTTTTGAAGGGGTGTTTTGAAAGTCAGTTCGTTTGCCTTCAGCTTGAAGACGTTCCCATTTTCATTCCCAGCTGAATTCCTTTTCTGCATCAAACCTCATCTTCCTGTTTGCAATGGTGAGAAAAGTGGCTTGTTTTTATCTGCTTCGAGTTTACTCCAGCTGCAGGTGGTTTAGAAATGAGGGAGAGGAGGAGAGGGGCTGGCGTTGCCTCCTGCGGGACAGCTGTGCGGGGGTCAGGAGGGGGAGCTGGCCCCACTGCACATCAGAGGTCCCTGGGGAGTTTGGGACACTGCTCAGCTACAGCCTTGGCTGAACCTCGGCTTTATAGAAAAAGAATATTTTTCACACCGCTTTCCTCTCTTAGAAGACCGAGCCTTGGGAATCGGGTAGGCTGCCTGGTTGTTGATTTAGAAAGCCATTTTTTTTGTACATCTCGTGGTGTCTTTGCCCACGTACAGTGTTCAGCTTCAGTTCTTGAGCAACGCAGGGAACGTGCCAGTGCTAGCGCCCGAGATGCGCTCGCAGCTGGGGCGGCTGTCAAACCTGGGGGTGGGCGGGAGTGCAGCGGTAGGAGGCTGGTGTTTGGGGTACGCCGCAGGTCTCCTTTAGCAGCCCGAGGTAACGTTTGGATGGCTAAACTGACCTAACTGCTGAACAAGGTTTTGAGCAAGGATTTGGGCATGTCAGTGTGAGCTCTGAATTAATGTTGCAAGCAAACTCTGAAGTACAGCTTCAGATATTTTCTGGAGCTCCATGTGCTGAGAGGGAATTCAAACACGTTACAGCCTTTCATAGAGGAAACGAGTATGAGACGTTTGTGTTTTAAAATTCAGGAATCTGCATGTGAGTACATACATCTACAGATGTAGTTGCATTTATTTGACAGTGGTAATCTTTTGCCAAGTTCAGTTAAGTAAAAGGATCACAATTCAGGTTTGAATCAATCTATCCCAGCTGTCTGGGGATTGAGTGAAACCCGCTTCATGGCTGCAGTCCCAAAATTCAGTTATACTTAAAATCTGTAATGCAGGAAATACTGGCATATTTCATTGAAACATCCAAGCATGACTGTTGAAGAGTTGGCCTGTCCTCTAAAGGATTTAAAATTTTAATCGTAAATGAACAGCAGTGCAAACAGGTGGAAGAAAGGTGCTTTTTAATTTTTAAAAGTGCCACCTCCATCTGATGTTCATGTCTTCAAGCACCTAAGTCATAAGAGACCCAGCTAGTGGTAGGTGCCAAAATACCTTGATGGAGCTGGCCACGATTTGGTCAGGCACTGGAGAGGTGGTGGGGGTCTCCGTTCTCATACTCAAAACTCCACTGGGCTCTGAACACCGGAGGCTGAGCTGTCAACCTCTGAGGCCCTTCTAACACCCGTGCATCTGTGACCCCCGGGGTGGTCAGCATGTTGCACCGTGGCCATTTACCCGCCGCGTGCAGATGCGATACTCTAGATAAACAATGTCAACCAGGCCACTTATTTAACCACGCCATCAAGGAAGTTTTTAAATGATTTCTGTTTCTGCACCGTAGGTGAAAGCTGTGCACTGCAAAGCTGGTGATACTGTTGGTGAAGGAGATCTGCTGGTGGAACTGGAATGAAAGGTTGCCTCCACACTGTTGAATTAGTATGCCTTTATTGTTTTCATCCATAAAGTAAGACTAAGGCAATCCAACACAGAAAATGGACAGTCCTATGTGCAAGATTTTATACAATTGTATTTATTGTATCAGTGGTTAAGACAGCAAACACAGATGTTAAACCTTGGCAAGTGATCCCAGATTTTTACTTCCAGAAATACTTGTACATAACCTTTGTAATTCTTTGATTTTTCAGGATCAAATAAAATCAATAAAATACCATTACTGCTTTAAAACAGGAAAAGCCTCTTTTTTTAAAAAAAAAAGGAAAACACAACAAAAGCCTGAATCTGATTCATCTTCTCCATGGTAACATCACTGGTTTGAGGGCCCAGCCAAATTGTACAGAACGGTTGGTAAGAGTGAAAAACGAACCACTGAGTGGTTAACCGAGCAGTTTTCCTACGCTCTGTGTGAGTGCTGAACGAGTACTGCCGATGGCTTCAATTCTGATCAGACTTATTGTAGTATTTTGAAGCCTTGGTATAGACCAGATGTAAATTACAGGTTAGATGGTCCATTTTGCTAGTGCAGACTTTCCCCATGTATTTTCATTTACAGTTGTAGAGGGAGTTTTCTTCTTTTATTCGGACTCCATACTCAACTTCCACCCCCCCCACCCCCTTTATCTTCTTTCAGTTGATTACTGGATGAGAGTCCTTACAGGAGGAGCTGGCACTGTCCTTGAAGCCCCTTAGCTGCCCCCAGGGCAGTGCTAGAGGCACCTGCTGTCCCTCAGGCCCAGCCTCCTCCTGAAATCTTACAGGAAGGGGAGCTCAGGAGCTCAAGCGTCTGATCTTTTGTTGTGCAGAGGCTTTTGCTAAAGACTCTGTGAGAAACTAGGCCTGTTCGTAACACAAGACTATCATCCTGCGGGAAAAGCTGCGTATCCAGTGTAGGAAACTAGAGAGGCCGAGGAGAGGAGGAAGATTTGAAACACGAACAGAAGCGAGAGCTGGTGACTTGGTCAGAACAGGTAAGAGGGTGTATTTTTTTTGCCTCCTCCCTCTGGACCTCCGTGCCCCTGGAGGGTGGAGATACCAGAAGTTTGCTGGGTTCAGAATGTTAGCCCGTGGTTAACAAGAGACTCTTTCTCCCATTAATTGATCTAGCTCAGTAAGTCAGCAGCTGCAGCTCACTAGAGGCAGCGATACCCCCGCAGTCCCTGCACACCCTAAGCATCACCTCTGTCCCTGTGCTCTCGCCTGCGCCTCCGCGGCCGCCCACCCCTGGGCCGGCACCCTGGGCTACTCCTGCCTTAGTCTCACCTCCTGCAGCTGGTTCTTCTTTACATACCTGTAAGTCACTGTTCCTGCTGTGCCTTGACCACTGCTCCAGTGAGGAAGGGGGGCTGCTCTCATTTTCTTGCCTAGGATGTGCAGAGTCATGCTACTCCCCAGAAAAACCCCTCTGGCCAGAGGTGCCCCAGCCCTTTACCGGAAGGTGAAGGACAAAAACAGTCTGTGACAGGGCTGGTGACTCACGGTTCAACCAGAAAGGTTCATGATTCTGCTTGAAACTTCTGATTGAAGAGGCATTTTGTCATGTTACTGTGATGCTGCCAGCCACATCACACGGCCAAGGGGGAATTATGTAGTACAGGGGTCTGCTTTGTTAACTGGTTTACAAAATCCATCAAAGATGAGTAAGGGGAGTGTTTGGGTAGTACTTGCCCTCCGGGAAAATGAATGCTTTTGCAGTTGGAGAAACTGAGGCAGACACCCTGCAGATCTTCCTACCAATCTCCATAATGCCATCTTGCCCTTTCCTAGAAGAACACAGTTCAGCTTCTGCAGGTCACCCTAAACAGAAAACAAATATTGTGAACCGACACAAGTATTCTATTTTAAAATGACTTGATTTGTTTACTGCAGCAACACAAGCTTTCTGTCTGTTTTTCTAAACGAGATGCAGCAGTGCCTACTCCCGATAAAAGTTCAGGCTGATGATTCCCTACCCTGATCTCCTCTGGCCGTCACAGGGCTACTGGCAGCAGAGCAAAAGTACGATATTGTTTTAATGGTATCCTTAGTACATTTAATCATACTTCGGCTCACTGCATGGCATACATTCCCTGCTCACATCCCTTTGGCTTCTTTGTATACTGTACAATCTATATGTACCAAACACTGCAGTTGAAGGAAAATACAAGGCACAGGAGCGTAGCAACAGAAAGCCATGATTTTCCCAGATTGTACAGACACCAGCACAGTTGGTTGGGTCAAGGGGACAATAGTCTTCTTTCCATTTGTTTTTTTTTTTTTTTTTTTTCTGCCTGCAGTTTAAATATTGCATTAATCACAATACAGGTCCTTTGGATATTTTTTATAATGTATATAAAAATCTTTCCCCTGCTAGGAAATTCAGTTTGCATACGGTTGCAAGTTCTGCATTAAAGTGCTTGGCAAAAAGTCACCTTGACAGTAAGTGCTCACAACAGCTGCATCCGCTGTAGCATGGTGGGCAGCTGAAATCAAGTTTGCTTTTCCTGGTCCCCAACACCACCCGCACCCCCCACAGCCCCCCCAAATCCTACAGTCACTCAGTGAACTGAAGTGGTAGCTAAAGTGCTTAGAATGCTAAATTAAAAGTATTTTAAATGTAATCCTCTTAATCTGTTTTAATATTTCTTCACAGTACCTTATAAAACTAAACATGTTTTAAAAATACTCCTTTCCAGTGCAGAAAAGCGTTGCAAGACAGAGTGAGAACAGTCTTTAAATTTTCTCTATTTCTCCAGCAATTTCAAATTTGTCTTGAAGTGCATAATATCTATATGGTCATCTCTGTTTACATTCAGTAACCTACTCAACACCATTACAAGTCAATACGCGAGTTGTGCATTACTTTGCAGACATGATTTTTGTAAATCAGTTTCAGCTATTAGTGCAATATCATCATCATTATTATTCCACCCACCTTGGAGAACTACACAAGAAAATTTGTCAATTCAGGTAAAAAAAAAAAAAAAAAAAATTAGTCAGTTCCTCTGCTTTTCACTGACCTCAGTCATGCACTGAGGCAAAGGCAGGGATTGAGGAAATAATTAGACCTCAAAACCGGGGTGCACAGATACAGTTATTTTAGGCCTCGTGCAAACCCAGTTACTCGCAGCAGGTTAGCGGGGGCGAGGAGGACGCTGACTAGCCGGGCAGGAGTCCCCGCCGCTGGGCCTACAAGACTTCAACACTAGCGCCAAGGCTCCCGGGTTGGGAAGGTTACAAGAGATCCCGTGTTTTAATAAAAAGGTATTACAGCTTTCCTGGAAAGGTTACCGATCGACACGTGCTTAGTACTACGTCTTCGGCCGGGCTGCGTTACCTCCCGTTTCTAATCCCGGCTTTCGCGTAGGACGTAGGCGAGGCCGTGTTTCCCCGAGGAGTCGTAACTGTCATGGTAGGGGAGGCCGACCCACTCGGGTGGGTACGTCGTCGTGCTGTACACGAAGCACTCCACGACGCCCTCGGCCGCTGCCAGCCCCTCGCCCGCGCTGCCCTTCCCTTCCCACTCTGCCACCTCGACGCTCATCAGGGTGCGCTGGTACATGTCTGGGCAGCCTTCAAACTCGTCCAGGAACTGCAGCATCTGGTCGTCAACTGAGTAAATCTCCCCAGCAACGTGGTGTCCCGTCCCTGGGATGTTCAGCATGTAAGGAATGTTGTATTTTCCCGCAATCACCAGTGGGTACTTCTCCACCGTGCGGCCTCTTCCTTGGAATTTTGCTAGCCCGTTGGCCGGGTTGATCATGTGCTTGTAGTTGGGCTGGCCCTTCTTCAGCGTGCCGTAGACGAAGACACGAGCCATCGTACCTGCAAAAGCAGCTGAAAGACAAAGGCGGGCGTCATCCACGTGGCTGCTTTGGCGCTTTTTGCTCTGGAGAACCGCAGCCACGCCGAGACACGTTGTACACGCACGGCTGTTCGGGTATGTGCAAAATGGTCTCGTAGTCTTACACCTCGTTTAAATATCATATTAAATTCACATATCTCTACAATTTTCAGTCAAAAACTGTAACAGTGAAAAACAGACCCCAGGAGAAAGTCACCCTTGCAGTAATAAAACTACATCTCATGGTTTCTCTAAGGAATCCCCAACATCAGCCAAGGCATCCCTAAGCCTCGTGTTAAAAAAACCACCTCTAAACCTCAATTTTTCCCTTCTCACATTACTGGAGCTGTGCTGCAGTAGCGGTGATGTCATGCTCAGTAACACCCCAAAAAGCAACCCAGGGAGCCATCCCCAGGATGGAAACACGCTCCACTTAGCACATCCTTTATGGGGGAAGAAATTAAATTAAAAATCATGGTTCAGCTCAGCTACACTGACACCTTCCTGTGCTGCTCCACTGCATTTAAGGTTTAGGTAGCCCAGGTCAAGCCTTATTAGAACTTGCAGGAGTGAAGCCACACTTAGTCTGTTTTCACTTGTTGAGGTGGGGTGGTTATTTTTTAAAGCCTGAACTTGATGGACTCAGTCACACACTACCTGGGCCACCTCCAGCTGCTCAGGGGAAGCGCCTGCTTCCCTCCCTCTTCTGCTCAGGCTCCCCTCTCACCATGGCTGCACTCGGTATTTGAGAAACAACATTTTATTCAGTGACAGAAGAGCCTGGTTGCAGTTTGGAAGTTTGAGCGTCCTTTTGTTTCATGATAAAACGAAGCACAGTGGCATTAATTATCTGAAAGCAAATTAACACATTCAAACTTCTGTTCCTGTAGCGCTGCAGTTGCATGCATTCGATGGCATTTTTTCCAAAAAGCAGTCTAATAAAGAAAAGGGAAAAGAAAAGCAAGCAGCACGATGCTCATAGCTGCAGCAAGCTAACTCCGTACAAACTGGGACATCACTGCGACAAACAGAGGACCTGTCTGTCACGAGGAGGGATGAAAAGGCTTTCACGCCAGACCTTACAAGCAAAATGAGGCACGCCGGTGCGGCAGCGGGGCGAGCTTAACCTGGCGCTGAGTCAATTCACAGACACGCTGAAGGATTTTCAGTAACCCCAGAGCCGAGGTCCCGCTTGCTGACTGACTGAGAAATGCTGAAGAACGAGCTACAGCACCAGGGAGAGAAAAAAAATTGCACCCCGGGGCGAGTGGGTCCTGTGTGAACGGTGCTGGTGCCAGCGCAAGGACACGTTTGTCCTGTTCCTGCAGGGGAGGGGAAGACAACGGCGCTCCTCGAGGGTAAATCTTAGGTGACAAATCTCATTTGCAGAGCTGGCAGTGCCTTCACAAACACCTTCACCCCTCCTGTCTGAGGGAGCTGCACGGGTAATTTCCTCGGGGGTGGGCTAGGAGGGGGATGCAGCCTTTTGGCCCTAACAAAACTGGAAGCTCGGGCTGCTGGTAGAAAGGCCAGGTAAGGGCGTGCTGCTCCCATCTTCCCTAGAGAGATACCCCAAAGTGCTAAGCCACCCGAAGTAGCTGATCTGCACATATGCTAGCCCTCTCTCCAAAACTGATCCTGAAGCATCATCTGTGAGCATAAATCACTCAAAATTGGTTTAAATGGGAGAAAAGGCTGGCTTTACTGAAAGGTAGGGGGAAAAAAGGTACCTTTGTAGTTCCCAAGTTATTTTTCATGCTGTGCCCTGTTTATCCTCCATTGCTTCTGTAGGGCAGAAGCAGTTTTTGCACTGTTTGATGGTTTCCCACGTTTTACCCTCAGTCACCAACTGGCCAAAGCCGGCCTCACCCACAGCCGTCTCGCTGGGCCAGACACCCAACATCAGAGGAACATGTGCAGCTCCTTTTGGAAAGAGGGTCATTACACAATGTAGTTCAAGTTTGAAAAAAAAAAAAAATCTTTAGAAACAGACTAGAAGTAGAAACTTCATTAAGTTTCTGCTATTTACTCTTATTTTAGTAAACTGTTAGAGCAGGTGGGTTATCCAAAAGGGGGTACATTGCTGGCCAAGAGAAGTGCTATTTGAAATAGTAGCAAAGCAATTTCCCCCTTGCTGAAGTAAACAGTTTTTCTCTGCAACGGAATACCGTTTCCCAGGCAAAAACGGTGTGTGCCTTTATTTACTGGCAAACCACTTTCACTTAGGGAAAAAAAGACCGTGCTGATTTTTTCCCCTGTATTTTATCAGATACACTTTGGCGTAATTTATCCTTCATGACATAAACAAGTTGTTTTTTTTTTTTCAGATGCAGCTCATTCCCTCACAATAAAAAGAGCATTAATATAAAAGGGAGTCAGTTGGTCTGACTCCTTTTTATAAGAAAAATCATTACCTTTCAGATTGTGTTTTGAATAACAAACACAGATCCTTCAGGAAGAAACCTGTCCCAGTGGGGATTGAGAAAGGATCAGAGTTAAGCACTGAAACATGCAATTAATTCCCATTAGGGGATTAGGGCACTCGTGTTCACTTTGAATCAGAAAAATGAATTGTGAATTAAATTGTTCACAACCAAGAGGTTACTTGTCAGAGTTAATGAGTTAAAAAAATAAAAAGGGAAACCTAAAACGCACATAAAAAGCTCAATAGCGAGTGGAGCATCTGTAAAAAAAAAGATACGCTTCATTTCCATTAAACAAAAGCTCCGTCCCTACTGTACAGCTGGAGATAAGCTTCCAAAAAGTTTGCAGGGCAGAGTGTTACCACTCCTCAAACTGGCAAAAATAAAGTACATGTTTCTGATGGCGCAGCAGCCGGCTATTCGGAAACGTTTCTGATTTAAAGAAAAGCACCCGTCATCCCAGTGCAGGACCCACACAATTCAACAACAACAGCAGACAAAAGAACTTGCTAACCCAGGCTTGGATCAGTGTTTCTGATTTATCATTCACGTCGATGGATTCAGCAGGCAGTGTAAGTGGAGTGGGAACCAGAAGTTCCAGCCACAGTTTGTGTGGAACCGGTAGAGCTGTGGGTCCACGGGGCTGAGCTCCCCATCGCACCGCTGCGGCCCACAGCAGCCCCGGCGCTCACGCGGGATGGGATGGGCACAAAGACATCTCCTTCTATTACAAAAAAAAAAAAAACAAACAAAAAAAAACAAACCCAAAGCCAAGCCCAGACAACCCTGGCTGAGGAGTGACTGAAATAAACTTGATAAAAAACATTTTCTGAGCGCCGCTCCATATAAACAAGACCTATACAATTTTCTGTGCAATAAATCTGGTCTCCTCTGTGCCGTGTGTTGCGTTGCAGACAGGCTGTTAGATGAATTAGCATCATTTCCAGCACTCTCATATTGTGGGCTTTCAAAACATTTTTAGCCACCTTGTGGCAGGAGAGTAAAGAGCAGAATTTTATTTGAGGGTCATTTCACAAACTTCCACTAAGCAGCTGAAAAGAGTTAGAGACAGCATCCCTTCGCTGAGTCACCAACAAGAAGTTGCCTTTTCTCACTTAATCCAGTTTGACACTTCTTACCTACACTAAATCACCAAAGAGGAAAAGAAAACCCACCGAAAAACAAACAAACAAAAAAATCCATAGACCCTATACTGAATATTAGCTGCCAGGACAACACAAACCCATTCAGAAGGTACTTTCATGAAATATTCATGCCAGAATCATTAAAATTTAATGGCATGGGGAAATGCAAGTGAAATCTGTATGTCATCTCTTCAAACTATTTCTTTTAGCTATGAAAGATGACCTGCTGAACTGCTCGTGGGATCAATTACTAGTTGCTTTGTTACGCCAGACGCAAAGACCAGAAAATAAAGTAACTATTTCAGGATCACGCAGGTAGAAGATGCTGTGGGGTGAAATTAAAAGCGGCTCGTAACCGGCGCCGGCCGGCAGCCCAGGTTGTCGCTCGGCATTAGCGGTGGTCGGGCTGCACGACCGTATCCACGTCTGCCCTCGCCTACCAACGGAGTTTCAGGTCAGGGCTTCAGTTTTCCCTCTCGGGGCCCAACAGCTCCAGCGTGGTGCGAGAGGGACGGGAGCCACGGGGCTGGTCGCTGGCTCAGTCAGCATCCACTCACAGGCAAAGCTGACCTGCCACAATCAGGCTCTTTGCTCTCAGGTTGTGCCCCAAACAAGACCTCAACTTCCCAAGCAGCAGCAGCTTCAACAAAAACCATCCTTTCATCATGGCTCAGACAACTACAGGATCCTACCAGCTTCTTTCAAGAATTAAATAAGAAATAGTGCGTATGTTGTTACACTGGCTCCAGGGCTGTTTGTGATCATGGTAGCAGTGGTTTTGGGTTTTGTTTTGTTGAAACTTTTTTTTTCCCATCTCAGAAAGTATCCATTTCTCTTGCTCCATACAGTAACATTATTTTCCCTTGAGAAAAATTTTCTGCATTGGCTCGGTGACCAGATATAGTTACACATTAATTCTTCAGAAGTTTCTTAAAACTGTAGGAAACAGGTGAAAAAACAAAATGCCTTGAACTTTAAACTTGAGCCCAGTCTGTTTGAATGAAGCGAGTTTTAAGGTCACTCTTCACTCAATGCTAACTTTCAAGAAGGACTAACATGCCAGAGAGGACTCCTGGGACTGCATCCTGTTGGTCCTTTGATGCTTTCATTTTGTTGCTTGCTATTTTCTTTATAGCACAGACAAGGGCTTCCTGCCCGGGCCGACCCCTTTCCAACCTTGCTGAATACCTCGGAAAAAGTTTATGGCAAGACACCTTTCTTACATTAACCACAGAGGCACCAGCAAAATGATGGCTCCTTTGAAATCAAGAGGTTACGGTCTCCTCGCAGCAGTTGTCCGCTCAGAAACTGTGAGGTGCTGGTTTGTGAAAACAAACAAGAGTATTAAGAGTAACCAGTGCCATGCCGGACGCTACTGGGCACCACCTGAAACTCCACTTAACCTACTTTGCAGATACTTTTCAT